GGTTCAACCACCAAGAAAAACACTATTCAGTTGAGGAGCAGTGATGACACTGGAAGCAGCAAGGACAGTGCAAGTACTCAACAATCCTGGTCAAGATAGTGCTGCCACAAAAGCAACTTCTGTCGTGGTTTGGCTCATTCTGCGCCAGCCCTTCCCAGGTCTCAATCCTGGCATGCGGGCGACGAAGCCAGAATGCAACTAGCGTGACCGGGAGCGCGGAAGTGGGGCGGGGTATAGTAGACCAAAGCAGTTGATTCTCAATTATTTGGGGGAATGCCTGGGTTTAAGGCCTCTTGGGAGAAGAGATACTGCGGGCGTTGAGTACGGGGTTGGGGTCACGAGTTGAAATGGGTTGATGGGTTCTGGCCTCGTCTCCATTGCAATCCGTGCGCGTCCTAACTGTTATGTTGTTTTGGGGCCCGCCCGCTTCCCTTCCCAGTATTGAGGGATACCCACCCCGCTCTGGCACGTACAATAATGGACTTACCCTCTGTAAAGCAGCCGTGTACAAGATTCTGCTGGTTTCATTGGCTTATCGGCATTCGGACCACATTTTACATGTTGGTCCTCTCGCTCATTCCGATCATAATTTAGCACGATCGATGCTGGCAATAATCAATCCGTACCAGGGTGAACATCAGGCTTGCCGTTTTCCTGAAGAGAACCATGAAAAATCGTCACAAGCCGCGCGATACTTTCCAGAAAAAAGCGGAAAGCATGCGCACACCCCAACATCTCAAACCCTTAAGCCGAAACCTTATCCCTCAGAGAGTGACAAAAAGTTGTGGTGAAGATGAGGCCGCCACACCATCCATGGCATCAACAGGAGGCAGCCCGGCACTGGCATCAAGCATGTTCGGTATATGAAAGTTTCCCTTCAAATATCTTTCTTGCGTATGCCAATATGTCACACGTTTATCCGTATTCCACAAGTCCTTCATAGTGCTACACGTTAACTTGTAATTCCGGCCTATTCTTTACAATGGCATTGATACGTTTTGGTGTGGCGGCCGAGGCCACAGCTGCGGCAGTGGATGGAGTAGTAGCAGAGCTATGGCTGTAGCAGCGTTAGTTGTAAAACAATGGTTCACCTGTCTTGCGCTTGCTAGGATGCCTGGCCACTTTGAGCGGGTTTATCTGTAATTACATTGATTCCTGGGTTTTCCCTGGGGATTCTGGGCGCAAGCTTGGTACATGCACTTGCCAAGATTTGAGCCATAGGTCTGCCAACAAAAGTGCATGTGCTGTGCGAAAACATCGCTGCTAACATTTCATGCGTCAGCACGCGGGACTGCTGTACCGCAAGGATAACATCCGCCATTACAAGCACAGACATGTTTAAGCCTAGCCCTTTATCAAGCCTAAAGTCTGACATGATCTCAAAACCGCTAAGCCCTAGGCTGCTTGATAGGCAATCCCGAACCTAAAAGGTTGAGTCTGCTGCCAAGCTGAGGTGACTGGAACCAGGTGGGGGGTTGGCAAATTTCACAATCCACATGGAGAAGACAGATTTGTTCAGAGCGTTTAGGGTAGAACTCCCCACCTTGACGGACAGCATGTGGCATCCGTAGCACGATCTCATCATGTGTGCCTCCATTATACAGCACATTGGGGCAACTGCCGAAGGCTCCCGCGACGACATACCTGGTCATCCTTATTGCTTGTTAAAACCCTATCAGGCCTTGCGATAGACCCTACGAGTTCCATAGGAACCTCGAAGGTTCCTGCCAAAAACAGGGGTCCCCTGAGAAAAAACAAAGTACACTCGTCCTGCTTATAGGGATCCCCATATGCAACAAATCGGGATAAAGCCCCTGCAGGGTGGTCAGTGGAATGACCAGAGATGGAACAACGAGTGGGATGGACAGATGCAGAACAAGCGCCCCCGCGCCGTACCTTTGCTCTCACAGAGCCATCCTGGGCCCAAAGGTTCAGGATTTAGGTTGGGGGTTTAGTCAAGCAGAAGACAAAGCAATGTGCGAACTTTACGCCAGGCTTGCAGAATGTTTCAAAGGAATTCACAGCACAAAGGTTGTTAGTGAGGTCTGGCATGGCAATTTGAGCTTGAGGAAGAAACTGGGGAGAGCCATCAGGGGATGGTTGGCTAAAATTAACCCTAAGGGTCCAAGTACCCAATAATCATATACTTACCCAAAACCTGTACTATAATTACTATTACCCAAATCCCAAGTACCTAAATATTGGGTACATGGACCCTCTGGGTAAGGAACGCAGAGAAAGCCCATCCTCCAGCTCGAGCCATAAATTCCTCGGGCAGCATACGTAGGAACACAAGAGGTTCACAGGATGAACGGGTTCACGCGACAGGTGGAATTCTTGACCATAGGCCATAAACAGACTCACACTGAATGTTAAGAGTGACCCCGCATTCACTTACGTACGACTACCCCCTATTTCCAACAAATCCGCTTTTTCCTGTGAGCACAGCTTGGGAAGAAAGAGAAAGCCAGACCGAGGAGATGAGCACGGACGGTGCGTGGCAGGCGCAGTGGATCTTCCCTTGGTTTTATCTTTGCATATGCATTTCTGGGAACTGTTTGCTTGTCGTGGTTGAGGAGATTTGCTAAATTGGAGGTAGGTGCGTCCCTGATGCCTTAAGAATGACTTAGATGAGTCCCGTATAGTCCTTTGATAAACCACCATTCGGGTATTCTTCTTCGGGCCGTCATAGAACTCCGCGCTACAAAGGCTGCCTGGCTTCATAAGACCTTGCAAGACTCACCAAACTCTGTGAAACCTTACAAGGCCCTGCAAGAACCTCAATAGAATCATTAGAATGGTTCGTTCCCGTGATCATGAAACCTCCCGCGCAAGACAATGAATACTCCCAATATGGTACCCCTGCATGTTGGGGAGGATATTCAAAAGCCTGTGATTGTATGTATTTATGAGTATTGGGGGACGGGCCTGCTATTCGGGGAGGGGAACTAATCCCCTCTCCCAAATATTTCACCCCCCCCAACCCTCCCCAATACTAAATGTTCCCAATGTGTTATATTCTACCACAATGGGAGTATCTAGGGAAAGGGTTTTGTTCGGGGAAGGGAACTTTTAACTATTGCTTGAAGACTCGCCCGCGAAATTCTGCAGGCATGGGAGGGCCGAGAGCCCTTGAAGAGGCAAAAGCAGGACCGCCATGTAAATGCCGAAGTGTAGTATAGGATCATAGGGAAGTGTTGTATAACAGTAGGGTTTTAGGTACCCCAACCCCTCTAGAAAGGACCCTATCCAGGGGTCAAAGGACCAGGGCGGGCTTAATGTTGGACCCCCAAACAATTAAAGAAGACCTTCCAGGTCTCCCAAAAATCACAAAACGATTGTCGGGGTGGGTGGCATAGATACTAGTTTTATAGCCTTCAAATGTGTATTATGGTGAGTGTCTTGAACCTTTGCAACTATTCTTAGCCCAAAACCTCAGAAACTCAGTTTTGAAGTTCCATAATCCTGAAACTACGAGTTTCGCGCAAGACTTGCAAGGGTGAAAAAGAATTTTCAAATCCTGAGCTCACGAAAAAGTGAAAGTCTAGCTGGTTGCCATTCATAACCAGGTCCAACATTGCACTTTTGACTGGCCCTTGTTAGTATACCTGGCTTGGAGGTGCAATTTCGTGGTAGGTGTTCTTGAGGTGAACCCTCCACGTATTCATAGTGGCAGAATCAACACATTTCCCTTGTGGTCACCACTAATGAGGTCCTTATCAGGTGAAGGTTTAGCGTTCAAAGGCTGCTTTCTTCGCTGGCCCCTCTAAGGCAGCTACTCTCTCTCTCTCGCTGTCGCCCCTTGGCTCTACATCCCTTCTGTCGAACCCCTACAGGGGACACCACTGGTTTCACAGCCCTGCATTCCTCTTTCTATCAAGCTGCTGAATAGCAATATTTGCTACCGTAGTGTCGACAGGATCCCCAATACTCCGCCCAATCAGGAGTTCCTCTCCGGACGACATTGCGATGGATTGGGTATGATACAGTAGGGAATTGATAGTGAGTTAGCAGGCAAGATGCGCATTTCACTGCCCGCAAGACTAGGGGATCAATTGTGTATCCTTACTGCTCACACACTATTTGTACTGTATCCACGGTCTGGTTTGGATACGAAGCAAACTTCTTGGAAGGACTTTGGCGCTTCCTGGATGCATCCCCAGGACGTCGCTCCTGAAACCTAGATCCCTTTCTGGGCTCAGGGCTTGCGAAAAGGGGTTTCTACGGGGTCTTCAAAATATTTTTGTATTTTTTGGCTGTGATAATTCTAATAACAACCAAAAAGCATACGTTTCAGTGGGGTTCTGAGGCCGGTTTAGGTGTAAGAGGAATATATGTCAGGTTCAGCTTGGCTAGACATTGCAATGCAGAACAGCTTTGGCTGTCAAAAGAACAGTTTGCTAGAAGCGGGAACAAACAGAGTCGGCAACTACATAGGCGTGTCCATGTGACGAGTTGTGAGTAGTGAGGGCGTTGCCGCAGCAGCTGCCAGCTGGAGTCGCGGCAGTTTGCGCCCCACACTTGCGAGAACATTGCCCGCATGCAAGTTTTGTTGACTTGGTTCGTGAGGATGGCTTGGACAAGATCGGTAAGAAGGAGAAGAAGGCAAGGCTTTTTGTTGAAGCTGACCTGGCTGACGCACAGGTTTTGAGCACAACCCGAATCTACATCTCCCCGTGAGCACGTTTGCGAAGATTGGTTTGTTAAATTCGTCAGATCCCATGTCCAGCTTCCAGCCTCCGGGCTTGGGTTTGGAGAAGCATTTGGCCAGGAGAAAAAGGATAAAGCAGAGAAGAAGAAGACCCGACTCTCCAATGCAACAGACAAGGATTTTTCTCACAAAGTCGGGGTTCCTTGTTTCAGGAAAAAGCATTATGGTAGTTTCCATTTTCTTTTCCATTATCCCTATATATATATATACTATAACCCCTGTACCCCGTATATACCCAAACATTACCCCCTTCTTTGTTCATGCAAGGCAAGCCCGTGTCACGGGTACCCCGTGTCACGGGTACCCATGTAAGTTTCGCTTCAGGGAATTCGAGCTGAGGCTCGGAGTGCAGGGTTCCCAGAAGGGCATCTGGAAGAATACATGATATAGTCTAAATTCCTCAAGGGGGTTATATAGCGGACTATGTGAGGGAGTAGTATAGGGGTTATTATGGGGGATGCTCGGAGTTTCTATAGCTCACATAGAGGGGTTTTTTGCATTTCTGTAAGCCTCGAGTCCTGAAGCTTGATGTCTGCCTTCAAGATGGACATGACCTTTAGACTCTGGGCAGGCTCTGGGACATTGTTGCATAGTTGAAGGTTCGGACACGTTTCCGAGCTTTCTGCTCGTAATAGATCCCTGGGGACGACATTGAGTCTCTCAAATCGGTATTTCCACGGGGTTTTTTCCACGGGTTGTAGTATGTAGTAAGATGGGAGTCCTTTTCGGCAACAGGGCTCGGGAGTGCTGAACAAGGCCTTTCCTAAGAGCCATGAAAGCTTGTGAAGTGTTGAGCTGTAGAATGCATCCCCCGGGGTCAAGGGCTCCTCATCAAGGGCATCCCCGAAATCACACTTCAGAAGAATGAGAATGTAAGAGCATTTCACGACTATGAAGATTGCTGTTATACTTATACGCCGTGACACACAGCCAGTAGTAGCGATGGTTTGTATCCCACAGGTTGAGGAGAGGCTGATGGTAACATCTCAGGATGTGGTCGCGACCCGCCTCCACGACTGCATGGCAACCTCTGGGAGGCGCATGACCGGCAAACACACCAAAGCTCAGGTCCAGGGTTTTGGATGGCGGTTTTCACTAGAGTATATTGGGGTTATATAGAATAATGGAAAACAAAATGGCAACTACTGTAGTATAGGTTTTAACTTCAAGGAAGTACACTACCCTCAGAGACATCCCAGCTGCAAGAAGGGTGCACTACCATGGTGGCATAGTTGTTCCAAGCTATAGGAGAGCGCTGCAGATAGTAGCATTGAAACACTGAGGATGGTGATGGGGAGAGTTGTATATGTACGCACAGAATGCAAGAAGAAGACATTTAAGCGTGTAAAAAAGTAACTTAAAATAGAGACTCAGCGAAGGATGGTAGCGTTGCATGCCTCAACTTGGAAATGTGGCCGTAGCAACGACACAGCAAGATGTAGCAGTATTTGTGAACACGGGGGCGACTGACAATGCGACAAACCAGCATGTCCCACTCGCAGCTCGATCCCCTAGGCGCACCTACCTGAACAGTAGAAGTTTGTGTGTCCCAGGAGAGCATTTGTGACATCGAGAGCAGAGGTACATATGAAGGTTGGTTTAGGGCGTAGGGCTGTGCGTTGATAGGCCCACATATCTTCCAGATGTTTTCCCTAAAAAGGCTCATGCCCATTTCCTGCACAACTTAATAAAGATTGCAGACCACACTGCTCTGCAGCACATGGACATTCAAACGTGTTTGGGGACACAAGCAGGGCTGATTTGTCCGTAGGTGCCGCGAGAGCACATTGGCCTGCAGCTGATCAAGGATGGGATCTCCTCCAGTTAGTTTGACTGCAGAGCTTAGCCTTTTTGAATTCCATGCGAGATCCTGGAAGTTGCACTTACCCGCAAGCATTTTTGAGTATGTCGTTTGTGCAAGGGTAGACCGCGCATATGGACGGTCTCCCATTTCATTTCGTGACGTGCTTGGACTAAGGCCCGCTCTGAGCCACATACCTTGATTTCTGTGTTCATGTACTCGCACTTAGTGGTGTGCACGTTGTTTTGCATACTGTAAATCAACCCACCTCACGCTTGCTGGGATGAGAGGATCGTGCGGATATGTACAATTGGCAGTATCCCTTCTGGGATGACTCCCGCCGCGCTCTGTCTGAAAGTCAGCAGTTCATGCCTTGTGAAGACAGCCATAGCAGACCCAAAAAGCCCCGACATCCTACGTAGCATAAGAACCCTTACCCGGAACGGTCTCAGACTCTCTCTGACTCAGAACCTTCATGAGCCTTCAGCACCCGCTGCACTTAATAATCAGGAGAATTGATCCGGTTACGTGTAAAGGAAGGGGATTAGCAATAACTGCCGTCTTCATCATCAGCACCTTCATTATCAGCACCATAGAGCCCCACCACCGTCGCAGACGCCAGCACAAACACAAGCAACAGCACCAGAAGCGGCATCGCCACCACCACCGCCACCACGACCACAACCACGGCGACCCCAACAACAGCATCATTGTGTTGTGTTTGCTAATGTTGTTTTTTGTGTTGCCTCCATGACAGAACTCAAGGAAGCTTTGCCGGACTCCTTCGTTCACCTTGGACGCCTCAACAGTGCAGCCAGTTCCGAGAAGCAAGTCAGGATTTGGGAGTTCAGCAGGGTTTCGCACGGTTTAGAAGGTGGGTGGTTGCATGGCCTTTCATCTCTCCAGATTTCTCTCTCTCTCTCTCTCCCTCTCTCTCCCTCCCTCTCAGCCTGTAGCTGACGCGTAGTGCTGAGTATCTGCCAAGTGTGATGTGTTTGCGAGGCCTAGCTTTAACGCGGCGTGAGTGTACGGCTTTGCGAAAACACGGTGTCGGCAGATTCATGTTTGCAGAAAGTGTTAGCGCATCGTTTTCAGGGCCAATATTGGGGAAAGAAATTATCCCAGCTATTAGATTATCACATGCCCCGGGCCATGCCCTGGAAGAAAACACGGAGGGAACACCCATATGAATGAACGATCAAATAAATGTGCACATATATATATATGTATATATACATGTTTGTATGTATGTGTGTTTTGGCGTAGCTGCGGCGAGGCCGGATGCCAGGCAGCAAGCGCAACGTTTTCCACGGCATGTCTTCTGTCCTTACTCGCACCAACCTCATAAAACCGGCAGAAGTTCAGTTGTCTACTTGTAAGGTTTGCATAAGTTGGCTATCCGACTGGCTTTCCAGCAAAAAGCTTCATTTTTAGCTTGTTTCGCAATGAATGCAGCCGTTGAACTGGAGTTGCTATAATGCACCATCTAATGTCCAATGTAGCATGGCCATGATTGCCAACATGATGCGCGCGGATATGGTGGTAGATCATCATTAATTGCAGATGGCAACATGCTAGGTTTTGTCAATCATTTGCTGGCTGTGTCTCGATGAAGTACCGCACAAGTTGCGCGTCGACGTTACCGGTAGCAAGACCATTTGGCAACATGCTAGGTTTTGGCAATCATTTGCTGGCTGTGTCTCGATGAAGTACCGCACTAGTTTCGGGTCGACGTTACCGGTAGCAAGACAAGTTCGAACTTGGCCACACGTAATCCACTGCACGGCTGGATGCTAGGCAAGGCGGGATGGCGATGAGGTAAGCATGTTGGGGGCTGGGGCTGGTATGGGCTTGTGCGAGTGGTTTCATAAGGGCAGGGTGGGTTCGGAAGGTGGGAGTAGGCGTGGCAGAGCCACGCGGTGGGGTGGTAAGGGTGGTTGCAGGGCGGCGGGGTTGGTGGAAGGGTGTTTAAACGTGGAGTTGGGATTGGACGGTGGAATGGGCTGGTAGGGGTGTCAGGAGGGGTGGTGGCCATGGCAACATGAAGCCACTCCAGGAGACCAAGTTCGTGCAACAAATCCACGGGTTGAGCATTAGTTTTGCCGCTTTCATTGGGTGCCCCCAAGTCTTGGCTTAGGACTTGAGTTGCGGCTTCGCGGACCAGATCAAATGCATATAATTTTCATTGATTCGAACACGGTCCCGTTCCCTTCCATGATGTCAGATGTTCATCATCAGTGAGAAAGGGGATGAGACGCTTTTGTAGAATATGCTCCCTCTCATCGATGCACCCGCTTGCCCAGATAAGTCCTCCAGACCATTTTTGTTCTTAAGGGGCTTGGGGGATTCATCAATGATCAGGCGGGAGTACAGCTTCAGGGCGTGTAGTGAGCGCGAAGGGCTTTCCTCGGACTAGTCAGATCGCCGCAGACCAAGCAAAAGAAGCAGTTTGCATTTCCAAGGTTCTACCAGATGATCGCCAATGGTACCAACTGGATCCAGCCGGTGGGTGAGAAGGCTTGCAGATTGTGGTGGGTGTGGCTCATGGTTCTCGCGCAAGAAGTGGGAGCTTTGCAGAGTTCCATGCAGGCCCAAATATGAAAGGATCACCATTTGTCTAAATGAAAACAGAATGCATAGGAACCTCCATAATCAGGAATGCTTGGTTGTGACGGTTGGTGCTTGTGGCCGTTGCATATCAGGAAACACCGTACGAAACCCCTCACAAAAGGAGAGCAACAACACTTCTTGGTCCATGCTGTTGGTTTGCATCGCACCCTCCTCCTTGGGAGGCAACATGCCGAAGAGCATCGCAGCCAGCATGAGCCATAGTCACGTATTCTCATCGTCCAGTATGTACCTGCAATGAAACAAGCGAATAGTCTACACGTTGTGTATAACTGACAATGACATGAATTGCTTCAATCTCTAGGCATTATTCACAATAAGCCAAGCCGCCTCATGACAATAAGCGAAGTGTTGGATCCCAATTCGCACTCCCCATAGTCAGATTCCCCCAGAAGATATAGGGGTTTTCCTACCATCTTGGGGGTCCCCGTAATAAGGATTGTAGTATATTGGGATCTATATTGGAGCCCCCTTACGTTGAGAAACCTCCATGCCGTCCCTAGCTTCTTGGTCTTTGTTTCTCAGTGGATCGAATGCGGTCCGCATCGCCTTATGACTTTTACATGCTAATTGCAACACTTGTATATGATAGTTTCCCAAGATAAGGGGGCCCAAATATAGACCCCAATATACTAGAATGATTATTTTGGGGACCCCCAAGATGGTACGCCTAATCTTAGCAGAGCCCCATGTCTTCTACAAGTGGACGGTTCTTTGACTCGGTGACATTGCTCAAAACACGAAACCTCGGGAAGCATGTGCTGATCGTCAGGGTCCTATGCCTCGCAAGTGCCACGGCTGAAAGCATCAGAAGGTCAGCATTCTTCAAGTAGATGAGGGGATCCAGAAGATGAGAAATCCATACCTCGACCCCTACGCCCGCGTGTTAGAAACAAGTAATACGGAAGCACGGGACAGCTGTTTGCTGCGGCTATGTTAGTTCGAGTAATTGCTTAGTGAGATTTGGAGAGCGACACCGGGGATGCCCGTCATGCTAGAACCCTTTGACTAAGGAGTCTATTTCTTGGGATGGAAGAGTCAGAGTAAAACTTGGGGATCAAGGCACTTGCCTTGCGGCCTTGCTGCATCCCAACACCGGGCTTGCCTTAAGGGTGTTACGCGCATTCTCCGCCCCCACATCATCCCCTCTGCTCGATTTCGACGCAGGTTTCAGGTCTTTCAGGTAGGTCTACCCAGCCCTTGAACAATAGGACGGTGCCCAAACAATGCACCTACATGCCTTTGGGTGCTGTATATAATTTACAGTGGTAAGCTTCTCCGCATGATTGATGCTGCTTAGGTACGTCATGTCAGGCAACCTAGAGGAAACAATCCAAGAAAATGTGCTCCCCTTGCTTGCCGAACAAACAGTCTTATCAAGGAGCTAGAGCCCAAAGAATGCCCATAGTAATGCCACTGCGAGAGCATGATACTTTTCTACAAGCAAAATCAAGCAAAGCCCATTTCCCAAGCTCGAGTTTATACCCCGGATCCTAGCTTGAAAACCATGAGGACAGCTTGGCTGGTCCAGAAGGGCTGTGATTGCAGCTACAGCTATGGGCCTTTTGCAGTCTCCCGCCTTAGCAGCAGTCTTGTTCCAGGATTTGTTTTGGCCTTTGTGCTGGGTCGTACTGGAGGAGAGCGAAAAGTCTTTTGTTGATCAGCTCAGAGGCTTCAAACATGTGTTCGCTCCATCAGGAAACTCGAGGAGTTGGATTCTCCTGACACAACCTACGGTTCTGTTGTGGCTACGTGAAAGTGTGAATGATTACGAACATTGCCCCTCTTCTGGACCCTGTAGCATCCATAGCGTTTGAGGCAGACTTAAGGATGCTGAAGGGGGGGCTAGAGTGTACAGGGTTCGGGCATAGGACTTTGGTGAAACCTTTGTTGATGATCGGTCCCCTAGGTTGTGTTTGTGTACATGAAGGTTCCAGAAAATTGATCCTCTTCGGGGAAGTCGCCAAAACAAGGGCGAGGGCGGCGGCAGGGGTTGCGGGGGAGTCGGCGGGGGCGGCAGGGGCAGCGGGGGCGGCGGCAG